CTGTCACTCCCCTCCCCAGCGTTGGCTGATGCCTGCTGTCACCCACAGCATCCCACCGCTCCTCGCACAAGGTAAATGCTTTTTATTCATAGTGTGTCCCTGCAGGGATGTGTCAGGCTACAAATGGGGCCCTTGTGCTACATCTCTAAGCCAGCGTTAGTCTCGCACCATCAGATCTCACTGTGGTTTTCAGTTTAGAAGATAATTCTTTGGTCGCTTAGTCTCTGCCCAGTGCTGCGAGGCGATGCCTGAATGGCAGTGAAGCATGGAGGACTCCTCTGCGGGCACCACCTCTGCATACTCATAGTTAAGTGACTTTCCTCTCACTGGTATTTGTCATTTCAGATTTCCATGCAAAGGAGGAGAACTAAAGAAGCTCAGACTGAATTCAAGCCCTTGCATGGACCCTGCAGCGTTTCACAGCTGTGTGATTCGGGGAAGGTGACATATTGGCTGGGTACAGGGACTTCTGGGACTCTGGAAGATAGAGCAGCTGAACCACTCAGAGCAAAGTCACCCCCAGTCAAACCCACCTCAGCTCAGCTGACACCTTTTTATCAGTGCTGTGCCAGAGAGCTTGTACGTCACGCACAAATCCTTGGAAAGAGTCACAGGAACCGCAGGGAGAGGGAACTGAAGGATCAGTTGCTCTTTTACTTGTGTAAAGGAGCATTACAAAGGGTGGTGAAAAGGGTTGGATACTGAGCCAGGAGCTCATTGACTGGATAAATTACCAATGGGAACACTTTCAGGTGCTTCCTTTTATACCTCTTTGCCAAGACTTCTGCTCTGAGAACTCCTTAGGAATGGGGATTACTCTTAGACTGGTCAGTTTGCCAGAGTCTGGTGAACAAGCTGTATCTCAATATGAAGTATTGAGTTCGCTGCACCACACCCCTATTTTCAGAGTCACTGTGCAGATTTAGAAACTGCATGATAAGATTTTTTTGTTTCTTGGCCAGGATAGGGAGAGGGGCTGTGTACACACATACTTCAGCTCCCCTGCAGTACAGTTTAGCCTCTAGAGCACCTGCATGCAGCACCAACACACCGGAGAGGAAGGCTTATAGAGTATTGTGGCAGGTGGTTGAGTTCATGTCAAACCCCTTCAGTGCAAAGAAATCTTAAATGTAAGGGAGTGAGGAAGAGGAGCATGAATGTGGCTCTGCACAGGGAATAGTCCAAGAAGTCTTTGTGCTTCAAAATGGTTGCATGTCCCTACTCTGAGGTATCACTGAGAAGAGTTCATTCATCTCTGCAGTGGGTAGCAAGATTAGCAGCGTGGGTTCATTTTGCTTCTTTTATGGTTCAATTGATCTATTAAGTCCTATCCAGACTTCAAAGATCTTTTCATGTGCCTCCTGGAAATGTTCCTTCTTCAAGTTTTTCTCCAATTTGCTGACTGCGCTGCACAGCCCACACAACCAAAAGAGATATTTTTATCTGGTTGTGTTCTATGTCATTTGATTGCATTATTCCTGGCTCTAGGCTAATGCTTCTAGCACTGTGTTTTCATTTGGCTCCACCACCTCAAAGGCTGTTTTTCCTCCCTGTACTTTGTCTATCAGATTTTTAGAAACATGAACAACACAGAAAAAATGCACTAAGTTTTGCAGTTTATTTCTTAATAGTTTAGAAAATGTCCGAGGACGTATATCTGTTTTTTAAATGTTCCTCCCATTTTGTGTATCCCAGCTTCATTTTGCTCTAGAAATCACAGGTTCTCACCTATTTCCATATAGCCCCTGGCAAGAATTGAGGAAATTTAATCAGAACAGCACATTAAACTGTCACTAGAGTTGTAATTACTCTCTGTATTCAGCTGAAAGGGGAATGGACACCAAACAGACCTTGCACTGAGGCAGGCAAAAGTCTTGCACAACCTGTGGGGGTTTGGCACGCAGCTTTTGGGGCTCTCAGTCTAGGAGCTGGAACCAGCCAAGATCAAATGACACAAATGAACAAAATGGGGGAGGTGGAGGGACAGCAAAAGGCAAAGTACAAGGATGACATGGCTCATCTCCACAATTTAGAAAAAAAAACCCGGCAAGGCACGTATCTTTTGTACAGCTCTGTTGCCATCCACGGAGTGACTCCAGGGAGGTGCTTTATCCTGCATGCACAGAAGGCCCCAAAATGCCACTGGCCACTGCACACACAGCTTCATTGGGAGAGTGAACCTACAGTTCAGAGGGGCTTAGAGCAGACAGAGGTGACTATGGGAAAAAATTTAAAATCTCCTGCTGTCACCATGGCCATGCTGGAGCAAGGCGGTAGCTGATCTGTGTGTTTATCCTTTGTGACACTGGCAGCAGAGGAGCCCCAGACAATGAGCTCTGAACATAGTTCCAACTTATTTTTGAAGGCAGCCATCCTTGCAAGAACACCCAATGGGTGACATTTAAGGAACTTGTGCCTTATTTAAACAAGACGAAAATTGGCTCAGGACTCTCTTACGTGGAGCTCTTGTGCTGCAAGCATCATAAATAAGGGGGAAAAAAAAAGACACTTTGTTTGCTTTGGCTCATGCAATGGTTTTGCACGCACAGCAGCCCCATCTCGAGATTCTGCAGGGAGGCATGCATCAAGAAGGGCTCTGCTACCAAGCCCAGTTTGAAGTCTGTCAAGGTTAGCACTCTATAGATTAGGCTCTTGGTTTTGATAACTTCACTGCTCTGCTTCTACTTGAACAGAAGCTGCATGAGGAATTTATTGTGCTGGTAGGAAGAGGTTTGCTCTCTACAAAAAAGAAGTTGGAGGTCAGGAATCTGGAAGTTAAGTAGAAACGTGCTAAGAGGAGAATGTGCATGGAGGTTGGGCAGCTTCAGTGGAGTAGCAAAGAAGGACGTGTATTCCAGCAATTCGCAGAAGCCCAGCCGGGGGCTGTGGTAAGCTGCAGGTTATAGAAAGGAAGTGGTTGGCAGTACAGTGTAAACAAACCATTTTCTTTAGGCTTAGCACTGCTGGCAAGCTGCTACAGCAGAGCAGTGCCTACAGGGGTTGCTGCTCAGGCACCAACCATGCAAGCACTCTCAGGGCGAGAACAAAGCTGCTGCCACCGACTTCACCAACTGGAGTGCTGCACACTCTCCTCAACAACTTACCAATAAAAAAATCAGGTAAGAAGACCAATATCCTGCCTGTGTCAGCACTGAAACTGAAAGTTTTGGGGCAAATCTGCTTTTTCACTGCTGACATTTAAGATTTCCTGCAGACTGGAAGAACAGAAAGTAAAAAGGACTGGCCGGCTTGGCTGCTTTAGCTCAGCCCGCAGGGACGTGTGTTGCAAGCTGTGGTTCACAATGCCCTTTTGAACTAAAGGGCAGGTTTACTCAGGAAACAAATGCAGAAGCAGCAGCTGGCTCATTCCCCAGAACCAGTAGGTCCAGCTGAAAGGATGCGTGAGGCTGGTTTGAGCAGATACTTTCACCTTTTCTGATCGCTGTAATAACCTGGCTTGCATCAAGATGACTGACATCTCACACCCTGCGTACCATGCAGCCATCTCTGTGGATGGCACAACCAGCCAGCAGAGACAAATGGGACTTCCAGGTACAACCAGAGCTTAACAAGAAGGAAAAAAAACAGTTTTGCAAACTGGAACACTCCTCATGGCTTGTAACTGGAAATGGAAGGTCACAGGGACAGGAGGACAGGAAGGAAGGAGGGGTACAAAGGGACACAGGCAAGAGGTTGTGCGGGGTGCTGCACAGGTGTGGAATCACTGGCTGCTTCCTTCCAAATCCTGTTTACAAATCCAAACAGAGCTACAACACACGGCAAGTGTAACCATTAACTTTACTGGAGAATCTGTCATGACAGAGGAGTAGTGGAACATTAACTGTATTTGAGGCATTACTCGGCTCACACACTGTGCAGTCTGCTTGCCCCGGGGCTGGCCAGCACAGCTCCCTCTGCCACCAACGCTGGCCCAGCCACGGCAACACTCATCAGTGGAGAGAGCCGCTTGAATGGCTTCCATCCAGCTGACAAAGCCGCTCTGGGGAAAGGACAAGAGCACCCATATGGTTTGCAAAGGGAGACTGTGTGGTCAACAGCAGCTTCACCTAGAAAAGCAGCTTTTGTCAGCTGTGCAGGCTGTTCTCTGGAAAGCATGGCACGAAGGACCTTTATTCACGGGACTAACCCCGTCCTTCACAGAAGCTGGAGGCCTCACTCGGGTACCTGCGCAGGCCCCCTGCTCCTGGGCGATGTGTCCCTTTCCTCCCACAGGTGATGCAGCAGCCTCTAGTGGCCAGGTGCTCTACAAGCCCTGGCAGGGGCTGGGTCCTGACCTGCCTCTCTACTACAGAGCAAAAATCTTCCAACTGAGAGTGTTGCAAAGTGAAAGCCATTTTTGATGATTTTGCCTTGTTTCAGATAGATCTGCTCTGCCAAACCCTCAGGAAACCTTTGCCCCTTCTATGGCGCTGACCCAGAAAACTCAAAACAGGGATGGAAAGGGCAGTTCTGACTGGCCCCAGTCCCCACACAGACCGAAATCGCCTCTGCCCTCAAGCAGATCCAGTGGTGTTGGAGCAAGAAAGAAAAGCCTATAGGGCTACAGCTCACATACCTGTAGTGAACAAGAGGGGAAAGCAGCTCACTGCAGTCTGTTTAAGATGTAGTTTTCTTCCCTTCTAAGTTGCAGAAAGGCTGTAATTGAAGTGCATTTTGTGGAATGGTGTTTCTATATGATTTTTAGAAGAAATGCTGAAATACTATAAAAAGCCTACACAAAATAATCCATTTTACTTAGAGTATAGCCCCCTAATTCTGGCTGGCCTGCTTTAGGAGCTGGTGCTTGAAATGCTCCAGCAATTCAGGTGCAATCTTATCAGCGGTCAAGTTCTTCATGTTCAAGATCCCTTCATGGGCTTCTTGGAAGAGCTGCTTCCCCACCGCTTCTTCCACCCTCCTGCGCCACTCTGCTAACTTCGGTCTCTCCTCAAAGAGGTCATAACCAGCACCTACAGGCTGCAGAGAGCAAGAGAACCCGGGAGTGAGTCAAACAGCACATTTACCAGGGATGGGACCAGAATGAAGCATGGATATGTTTTTGGCTCAAGGCAGCAGACAGTCATCACCTTAGTTGGATTTCATCTCTGGTTCAGCTAGTAGGAAGGAAGTGTTGTCATCCTCAGCAGCTGCTGTCCCCTGGGACGTGCAGCAGAAGCGCACTGCCATGGCTAACCCAAGAACTGTCTAATGCAGAACACAGAGGTCCATGCACACCAACACATCTCTTCCAAATAGCTGTACTTTTCTCTGCCTTCTTTGTAATTTATCTTTTTTTCTGAGGAATTTTGTCCATACTTCTACAGAGAAAACTGTCTCAAAGTAGGTGTTCCCTGGCAAACTCAATTACGGTCGAAGTCAAAAAGAACAAGATTTAACTCTGCTAAGGAGTAAACCGCAGGGAGAAAGATCTGCCATTAAAGAGGTGGTGGTGCTGCAGCCACACCTTGGTCTGGCCTGCCCGCAACCCAGCTTGTATCCAACAGCGTTGGGGTTGATGCTCACCTGCATGAGCTCCACCAGTGCCACAAGGTCTGCCAGGGAGACCTCACTGCCTGCGATGAAGGGCTTGTCCTGCAAGAACTTCTCCTCAAACTGCTTCAGGACAACGTTCAGCTCTTCAGTAACACCTTCCAGTTTCTCTGGAGGAAGTGGCTGGCCCGTGAGGAGAGGCAGCAACACCTGGCAGGCAGAAGAAACAAGTTTCTTTTTACATAGTTCCCTCCAAACTTAGTCCACACCCTCCCACTGCCTTCTTCCAAAGATCCCTCATCATCCATGCACGACAACTGGTACTGCTCATCTCCTTTGGCAGATTAACATTCATGTCAGTCATTAATTCCTGCCTGTCCTTGTCTCCACCCTAGAAAGTCTGAAATTTCAACCACGAGAGTCTTCTCTCAAGGGAACACTGCATCATCTGCAAGCAACTACATTTTGTTTTCCAGTGGGAAGTTCATTCTTTCCGTGAAGCTGGACAGAAGGCAATGAGCCGTGTCTGGTGTTAGCTGCTCACCCGGGACGAATTTGCTCTGGATCTCAGTGCATGCCCAGAGCTGTGGCTGCAGCATGAAGTATTTGGGCCACTGCAGTTAGGCTCAGCTGAACAGCCAAGTCAGTCAATTCCAGATCCAGTTTTGTTCCTATCTGTCACCTGGCTTGTACATTTGCTTAGAAAGGCCCTATGCACAGGATGTACTTCCTGAGCTGTTGCACTCACAGCTCTTAGCATTTAGTTTTTGGTATATAACGGTCTTACCTTAGTTAAGAACAGCTTGCTCCCCTTCCCACGAATGTTGACGTGCTGCCATGACAGGTACTCATCAACCCTAGCCCTTTTCTGCAGGTCAGATGGGTACCAGTGGTCAGGAGTCTTGAATTTCCGGGTCAGGTAGAGGAGGATTGCAATGCTGCCCAGAGAGCAAGGCAGACCAGTGAGCTGATCAGCTGAGATTAAAGCACCTCATCCTTTCTTCTTCCCCCAGATCTGGCACTGCTGGACCAGCAGCAATATAAACCTGATCCGAGTCAGGCAGAAGCGCGGGACACACAATTGCCAGTTAGGCACAGCACGTGAGAGAGTTTGCGCTGGCTTGACTGGCTGCTTGTGGACAGCAATTACCTGAGACATCAGCCCAGTGAGACAGATGGGGCCTGCTGGTACAGTTACACTATCAACATTTTTGAGCAAATATTAGCCAGAGAGTGAGTTTATACCAAATTAGAGCTTTGTATTGCCTGGCCATCCAGCAGTGGGTGCCCTGTGTCAGATGTACTGCACTGACCCACTGAAGGCAGAGGGCAGGAGGACACACGGACAGGTATTTTGGCTTAGAAACATTGCCTACATGCAAGTTAGCTCCAAGCAGCAGCTCACAGATTTTTCCACAATCAATGCTGCTTGAGTTGCTTACATGAGAAAGCTTCTCTTGATACATGGGTTTGTTTTATGTACAAGTGGAGCAGATAGGAAGGAGGCAAACAACCACTTGGGCTGGAGTCACAGTAGAGACCAAACAGTGGTCCAATTCTTGGATTCTTGGCAGTAGAGATTTGGACTTATTTGAGCCTCACCTCTCTGCTAAGGTGAAAGAACCATCCCTTAGCGCAGGCACCTTCATCAGGACATTCACCTTCCGGAACTCCTCCGTCCTGTGCTGCCCTAAGGAGGGAAATGTGAGATTTTACTTGGCAGTGATGCTCAGGACCTGTCTGCAAACACCTCAGGAGCCTATGGAGACCACGTGGCCTCAAGTTCCTGGTTTTGATTGTACAAGTGCAGTCTTGTTTAAGTTTATAAGCGATCAAAAAATGCCACTGGGTGAATACAGGGCTTGCCGTATGATGTCAGCTTCCTTGCTTATTGCCTGCATACCAGAACAACCTCTCGACAAAGGTCAGAATGGTTAAGACTCCTTTCATACCAACAGTGCATGTCAACTCAGGGCTCTATCAGCTCTAGGTCAGGGCTCCATCAGCTCTAAGTTTGTGCCTGGAGGTACCTGTCCTGTACAAACCCAGAGAGAACACTGAGCTCCTTGGAGGAAAGAGATCTCGGTATCAGAAACACAAACTTCAAGGAGAGTGAGAAAGCAAGGGATATGGTTTTGGGTTTTTTTTCTGGAAGATAATGTAATTCATATTGAACTCTCTTTCTAGTCCTCAGATGAAAACAGATTTTTGTGATTCTGTACAAAGCCATGGGTACTTTATTACAGATCTATCAATCAGCCCTTTATGTGGGTTTTGTATATCCTTTATCAGAGTAAATATGGAGTTGACTTTGCTTTTAAACTGTCTTTCAGCCCCCCCCCTCCCCCCGAACAGCAGGCAAAGCAAACCTGACAGGAGAAGGTGCTTTGTTCATCTGAGGTCCCCAGGTGCTCCATTACGTTTGAACCCAGTCCCAGGAGCCTTGTTTTAGGTGACTCACTCGTGCCAGCTTTCTCCAGCGCCTGGCTTCTGTCATACGTGTGTACCTCTGAATTCAAGTCTCTCCAACGTCTCACCCCATGCCATGCCCTGCTGTGTGAGTCACCTGAGATCTCTGTGCCAGAGGAGATGCTCTGGAAATGGTTTTAGTTTTCCCAGTACCTGGGAAACCTGATTCGTGACTATTCCCCTGTGACTTGGCTCACAGCCCATCTCCCCCACCCCCTTTCAAAAAGACACTGGGATTTCCTACACGTGGTATGTGGATTCCAGGTCCTGGGGTGTCCCTGGACTGTCAGGCGATTTCTATCTGTTCTCACACTTTCTACCCATTTCCTTGAGATCTACCCTACCAAGAGCTTTTCTGGGGGGACACATTTAACTTGCCAGCTCAGATCTGAGTACGTGTTTCCTCACTGGCCCTTACATACCCTGCAGACGGGTACCTGATCTAGTTAGCAGTGTCCCTGCTCACTGCAGGGGGGTTGGACTAGATGACCACTAGTGGTCCCTTCCAACCCTAAACATTCTATGATTCTATGATTCTATGATTCTACTAGTGCTTACAGGCCTCCCACACCACATTCCCGAGTGAGTGCTCATTTGGGGGCCAGTGTGCTCATACCCATCTGCCGAGCAGCTGGATCCTGAGCCAACGCAGCTGCAGATATCAGGGGCGCTTCCCCATGGCATGGGAGGTGCACAGGCTGCAGGAATGGGACGCGCCTCTAGCATTCCCATAAGCCAAATTACCCATCTTAAATCCACTGACCAAAAGCAAATGCTGATGCCGTGGGGCACAGATCACTGGGAAACTGTGATTTAATTCACTTTCCTTCCTCTCAGTTCCCCGATATCTGTATTTCAGTTGTTCCATTCTTCCTGATGCTCTCGTTGCTTGCCTGCCGGTCTCTGCTCCTTTGCACCAGTGCCTCACCACAACAGTTTGTGTACTGGGAAAGAAGGGGAAGGACAAGAGGTGGGCCTGCCCCCAGCTACAA